GTCTCTGCTATTTCTCTGTTTAAAAGTTTAAGTCGGAGTTAACGTGAAAACATTCTCCCAGATGCAGTAGATGTTTGGGAGTTTTGAAGGGTGGGGGAAAACAGCCTAAAAAAATGTTAAATACGTGTGCTACTCTTCACGGGGTGCTGTTGGTAACACCTTACATGTGTCAGTAACTTTGTCTTGACTTCTGGTCTTCCAAATAGCAGTGCAGAGCGCTCTTCCTTAGACACCGAGTGATTTATATCTGAGTAGCCTAAAGGTGAAAAAGGGTGATAAGGTTTGTGCCTTTGTAAAGGTTCAGTATGAGGATTACAGGCTCATTAGGTGTGATACTCGAGGTGGTGTTTTTGTTGTATGTGTAGCAGCCACAGCTGAGTGGCAGCTTTTCTGTTGCAGAACCTGGCTGTGATCCAGCTGTAGCTGGGCATTGTGAGACACATTTATTGCGCTTTTTTTTCCACTTTGTAATTATTGCAATGGCACGTAACTGAAGATGTAGCCTGCAGCAACTTCAGTCATTTTTAATTGCACTTACACCCTCGGGCTAGCCAGGTGTTGGTGTGTCTGTGCTACATGTTGCAGCAATAGTATGCCCTTCCCCTGCAGACTTCTCTGAACTGTAATTCTTCCTTAGTTTTCAGTCCTTCGAGATTTAAAGGACTCTCACCATTTGTTTAATCAGTAAATTTAAGGTTGCTGCCATGGTGCACCTTCAGGGTAGTACCATGTTTATATATTCCCTAATTGTGTCCCAGCCAATAATAAATTATTAACAGTCTCCCTTATTATTACTTCACATGAAGGCTGCTTTTGCAGCGAGTGAGGGTGTTCCTTAGCACATCCACACCCCTGTTCAGGAGGAGACTTAGTAGATAAACAGCAAAAAAATCTTTAATGTGTTACATGGTGTTTCTCATTTCAAATCTAGAGAGAGTGGTAAAAAATTATTTGCCCCAAGCTAATGTTTCTCCTGGTAATTAAAAAACAAATACTGGAATAATGCCATCAGAATGAGCACTTCTGGGATGTTTCTTTGGTGAGAACTGAATTGCTTTATCAGATGTGTAGGATGTTGCATCTGCTCGGAATGTGGGTCTGCAGGATGTCCCTGCTACTGAATGTCTGTCCTTAGATGGGCAGGGAAATGTATCAGGGAAGCCTTTGATGTAAAGTTTATCAAGATGGAAGATGAGACCTCTGCACTGGCAGAGATCATTCTCAGCTCAGGTGCCTCAGTTCTGCTCCTGTGCACGTGGACTCATGTAACAGTGGTGTGTTCATTCGGTTCATTTAATGTGAATTGTTTCCAGTTCCCATAAAATACATTTCACTGGAGATTATTAAAACATGGTAAGTTTTTTTTATTCTAAAATAAAGAACAGTAATTGGGTATTCAGTAATATCCTGCAGCTGTGTGGGTTAACATTTTAATTTCTTGGACTGTAAGTAGGGCCTCACTGAGATTCTGCTGGCTCAGATACTTCATCAGGAAACTGCTGTATTATTCTTTAGATTTTGAGCACATATTGGAGTCCTTTGGTCCTTCTGGTTGTGAAGATAGTCTGAAAATACAGAGTTGTAACTGTGTGATATGAAGATTGCTTCCTGCAGCCTCTGAAGAGCAAGCTGGGGAAGCAGTCTGTTAATAGGTGTCTGTGATCCAGGTGTGAGCAGACATCTCCAATTGAGGAGAAAGAGGATGATGACTCAGGGCAGAGTCACATCCTGTTAATGCTGGTTAGGGACACCACCACCTCACTCTTCCTGCTTCTGATGAATGGGAGCTGAAAAGCCATAAAAAAAAAAAATCCTTGAAATGTGAGAAAGGGAAAGCCAGTCCTTCAGAAGTCTGTGGCTGTCCAAATGTAGGTGTAGCTTACCTGTTCAAAAGCAGCTCAAGCTCAGCACTGCAGGTGCTGGAGTCAAGTGGACCTCTTTCCTCTGCTGGTGGCTGTTGCTGCCCCGCTGTTGAGAGGCCGCTGGCTGCAGACCCAGGCACACACGTACAATGGCCTTGCTTCCCTCCAGCTGAGACTCCTGTGGTTTTCTCTGCAGTCATAGGCTGAGATATTTGCTGTGATGTGGATTCTGGTGCGTTTGGGGAAGTGGGTTGTAGGGTTGATTTCATTAACTGTGGTCATACCTGCTCCAGTGTCCGGAGTGGGAGAGCTGAGCCCGGTAGTTGGCAGTACCCACGAGGGGGGGCTGTGAACGCCCGTCGGTGAAAAGCAGCCTCTGGTTCTTGCATCTCAGTGTACTGTGGCCTGCCTTCTTTGCTTTCAGCTGGAGTCCAGCATTTATGCTAATGGGTGGGGTTAGATTGGATATTGGGAAGAAATTCTTCACTGTGAAGGTACTGGCACAGGTTGCCCAGGGAAGCTGTGGCTGCCCCATCCCTGGAAGTGTTCGAGGCCAGCCTGGATGGGGGCTTTGAGCAACCTGGTCTAATGGAAGGTGTCCCTGCCCATGGCAGGAGGGTTGAAATGAGATGATCTTTAAGGTCCCATCCAACCCAAACTGTTCAATGATTCTGTGATCAAGTGTATTTATGCAACTTCTGTTTTACCAGCACACATTCAGTGAGTGAAGCTGTGTTCCTGTGGCTTCTGGAGTCAGGTGAACACTATAGCAGAAACAAGCGAGTGCAGCAGAGCTTTGCATGAAACTCCACTTATCTCTACATTCTGTTATAGCAGGATGAAGCTTTGTGCTTCTGAATACAGTTTTAATGGCATAGAGGTTCAGATAAAGCTATTTCAAGCTTTTAAAGTCCAGTGTGTTAGAAGGATAAAGTTGGAGTTGAGATGTGGCATGTGCTGTGTGCACAGATCTCTGCTGAGGCATCTTAGTTTGCAAAAGAGTGTTCAAAAACCTTCCCCAAATATACTAGCTGCCTCCCAATAACTTTTAAATTGGCATTTAAGCCAGAAAGGGTTTTTTCTTTTGTTTCTATGCTGCATTGCTTAATGCATGCAAAAGTTACTCTTTTAAGCAAGGAGCTTTTACTAACAGCTTGAGATGTCAAATCACAAATTTCAAATACATTTCAAAACATATTTTGTGATGCAAAATACTTCCCCTGCAGCCTTCAGGAGGAAGTCCTTGCTGGTAGTTGCTGCTTCTGTTTTTCCTCAAATATGTTTTTGCTGTTTTTGCTGAAGTAAATTACTTGTCATCTTCAGTACATAAAAGCCGTTGTAGCTGCACTGGCTCTGAGTGTGTTGCTCCAGCAGCCCCGTGCTGCATGTTTGTTTGGTTTGGTTTCATGGACAATAAGCTGGTGGCCTGGGAAGCATGACCTGGCCTGTGTCACTGTGAGGGGTGGCAGGAGCCTGCAGGAGGAAGTTCCAGGTGTCTTGAGAGGAAGGAAATGAGGGGAAAACAGCATGTTTTGGGGAAAGTTCCCACACAATGCAAAGGAGAAGAACAGGGTGGGGGGGCATCAGAAAGGGAAGGGCAAAGTAGTTTTGGGAAGGATGGGGGCGTTCCTGGGTTTTACCTCAGAGGAGAAAAATACCTTTCCTGCCTTGAGGGATCATCCCCATCCTCTGTTCCTGTCTGCTGCCTGCCTCCCTGAGCCAGCGTGGTGGTGGAGAGTCCCCAGCTCCTGAGCTGCCCTGCCTGACCTGGAGTGCAGTGAGATAGAAGGTGCTGTTTAATGTTTAACACATTGTGCAAGGGAAGGACCTCAGAGACAGTATCTGCCTTCCTTCCCTATGCCTGAACCTCATGGGAAGCCTGCTCCATTCTTATCCCCTTCCTGGCATTGACCTGTGGGTCTGCTGTGACCAGAGGCTTCCTCTCACCTTTGTGGGGCCAGCATTTTCCACTGCCACATGAGAGCCAGGTCTGTGGACTTCCCTGTCCCTGAGTGCAGAAGATTTCTCCTGCTTTTCACAAAGGGGAGGTGACTTGGAGCTGTGCTTGCAGCCTTGGGCAGGTGAACAGTAAAGTAGCTGCCAGTCACGTCCAGAGGGTTTTAACTGGAGACACCCTTCTAGTCACTGAGGTCTCCAGGAAGCAAAGTCTTTGGTCTTGGCAGTCATGGCTGCAGGAAACGTTGTGGGATGAGGTTTGGTGGAGATCACCTTGCAGAATGCAGCTGCACGTGCTGCCGTGAAGGCACAGTGCCCCTGCAGGGTGGGCACAGCCCCTGCTGACAGCAGCCCTGCTGGTCCCGGGGCCAGGACTTGTTGTAGGGCACAGTGGAGGGTGGAGCTGTCCCTGACTGCACCAGGGGAAGGTAAGATCTGGGGACCTTGTCTGCTGGAGCAGGAATGACGTTGGTGCCAGCACGTCCTCCGTGGTCTGAGTATTGCCTTGGCTAAACTGTGTCTTACGAGTGAGATGCCTTTGGTGCATCTGTCGCCTCATTCATTGCCTCATCCGTGGAGCTTGGCTTAGGCCATCCCTGTGGCTACGAGAGACAAAGATCCTTTTAAAACTTAAAAGAATCTTTGTTCTAGTTTTGTTTTGTCTAATTCTCACTTGTATATAATAATGTACATAATATATATGGAAAAAATTATCTTCACTTAAATGTTTTGTTCTCTAAACACATGCCAGTGGAAAATGCTTCATCAATACTTCCTACAGTCCCGCAGATCCAGACAATGCAGTTCACAGTACTGTTTTAATCTACATTTACTGTTAAATAAATCGTTAATTTTACCAGAAGCAGATGTCAACTTTCTAGACTCAAAGCAAAAAAACCCACAAACCAACAAAGCCCCCCCAAAACAAAAGGGAAAAAACCTTTGGACTCAGTGTGTGGCCTGAAAGCAGCCATCCCTACTCCTGTGCTGCTAATTGGGCCCTGCCTGTCACCCTCCTTAGCCCTTGGGGTTTCAGACGCTGCTGAGAAGGAACCCTGCCTGTTACAGAGCATTGCAGTACTTGTTACACGGTGTCTCTCTGTGGGAAGAAACATTCGGTTCACACCCTTTAAATCCAAACTGCAAGGTAAAAATAATCCCTTTCTATTCTCTCCTAAACAGAACTGCTCCTGGAAAGCAGAAACAAACCCTAGTAATTGCTCTATGTCCCTGGAGTCCTTAACAGAGCATCTGCAGACATGACAGGAACAAGACCTGCTCCGGGATCCCTGCAGTTTTCCGCCATGGCAGAGCTCAGTTCATGCGTTACTGTTTCGGTGCTGTGTGTGTGCTCAGTGCTGTGGCTTTACAAAGAAGATGACTTTATTTTCCTGCTGCAAGGAGGTTGAAATCTTAACATCCTGAACATATGGAAGGAGAGTTTTCTCTGACTGTCCAAAATCTCATAAAATGTAAGCTGGGGGGAGAGGGGAGGCCACATGCATGCTCGGTGTTCAAGAAAAAGCTATTTGTGCTCAGTGTAATGGCAGTATTTTTCAGTTGCAGCTCTCCTGTGCAGGAGTTTAATCTCCCTAATATGGACAGAGTGAGAGCAATGAGAGCTGAATCACTTTTAATTTAGCAAGTCTTCCGAGAACAAAAGAAATCTGTGTCAAGTATGTGTTTTGGGTCAGTTTTGCACCTTTTTTTTGTCTATGTTTCTATTTATACCCTGGCCAGTTCTTACACTCCCCAGCCTAGTAAGAAAGTTAATGTGGTTACTAAGCTTTTAGAGGAAAGGGACTGGTTTCCCAGATTTGAGCTGAGCACCATTGCCTTTATTTATATAAACAGTGACATCATCTTTTATGGCAGAACGGGAACCTTAAACAGTTATGGGAGAGCAACTTTTAGGAAGTGTCCCTATGAGACATTTGTGTTTCATCTTCAAGTGTGTATTTAAGAAAGACACTATATCCTGAGTCACGTCAGCTCTGTGATCTTTACTCCATTTCAAACTGTAATTTATTAGCAAAAATTATTCACTTTTTTTTTTCTTTTTCTTTTGAACTGTGTGAAAATTGGTGCTTGCAGCCTGCTGGGGAATGCGAGGAGCAGCACAGGCAGCTCTTTTGTCCTCTTCCAGCTTCCTCCAGAAATCTGCTTTTGCACTCCTCCAAAAGCCTTTTGGAAACAATACCTGACCCGTGTGGTGACGGTTTCTGGGATTCAGTGTTAGTCACCCAGAGTGGGGATGTTCAGGGCACTGATGAACTGCCAGTAAAGCGCTCGGTTTCCTACCAGAGGAGTTTGCTGATGTCTGTTAGAAAGTATCCCCCCAGTCAGGTTCAGTCTCTTCTCCATCACACGGCATGGAGGGATTGTGCAGCCTTTCTGGCCCGAGCTGAGAAAGCAAAATGCTACACTTGCAGTATGGCTGAGTTGCTGCCAAGGGTGAACATCTGCTCTACAGCTTGTCATTCAGCCTTTAAAGACATCCTGTGAGCAGCCAAGAGCACTGGCCTGGCTGGGTTCTTGCATCTCTTTGGTACCTGAATGGGAAATCACTCGCTCCAAAGGGGAAAGCCACGAACTGGCAGGCCCCACCTCTTTGCCAGCTGCACCTTGGCAGCAACACACCGACCTGCCTCTGGAGAGAGAAAACCCTGTTTTCTCCTCACCTGGATTTTGTGTGCCATATTTACTGAAAAAAGTTGCTCCTGCTGTCACTTGCCATGAGGAAAGTAGATGTACACTTCCCATTTCGTAGCACCTGCCTCGGTGCAGGGACGTCTCTGTGCCTCTCCTCGCTGTCAGGAAGCAACTTCGTCTGTGCTGTCAGGCAGGAACAGAGACTGAAAGTTGTTTGGGTTGGTTTGTTTGTTTGAAAAAAAGGGACAAGTGTTTAGCAAGCATTAGTGGTTGTTTTCAGTGAGTTTGTTTCAAACCTGACCTCGTGCCATGGGAAAGGCTGGTGTTACAGCACTGCTGGACAAGGGGGGGTGCCATGTCCCAGTGTCCTCCAGCCTGTCTACCTTCTGTCCTCTCTGAATTGCTTCCTCTTTAAATGAAGACAAATGTTGCATTATTCCAGGGGCAGAACAACATTTCCCAAACCTTCCTTGTGAAGTGGCTGTTGCCACTTCTCCTTGGCTTTCAACCAGGGCTGGCTCAGCAAACTTTTGGGTCAGATTCCTGATTTCTCTCATCTAGTTGTTGCCTTTTCCCATTGCTGTTCACAGCCCTGCCAGGCTATCAGCCAGAGTGGGGGAGCACTCCTGGACCAGCCCATCAGCCCAGGGTCTGGCCCTGTGAAGGGCTCCAGGGCTGCCAAGGTGGTTTGGAGGAGGTCACCAGCTTGCTTTTTATAGCTCCTGCCAGGTTTCACTTGCTCTAATGCCTGAGTGTCACGCTAAAACCTGAGAAGGACCACATCTGAAGGTGTTCTGTCTTTGCAGCTCCCTGATGGCACTTCATGCTTTGTTTGGAGCTTATCGAGTGTCTTCACCCTCATCTCAAAACAGCAGCTTTATAAAAGCAGATGAGCCCAGCTGATGTGAGAGTGGAAGTGAGATGGTTTGGGGCATCTCACAAACATACACCAGCTCCTCACTGGGTCCAGGGTTACAGCTGTGCCCCAAACAGATCCTCAGTGTGCCCCTCCATTGGTCTGGGTCTGCCCAGGGCTAAGGGTTGCTGTCCTGGCTGACAAAGAAGCATTTTTTACTACTCCCGCTTCCAGGAAGGTGAGGAGATTTGGAGAGGCTGGTCCTTTTTTGAGAAGATTTGGGTGCCACCTTCATGTGATGATTCTCAGGAGTACCCTTGAGATACCATCTATCTAGAGGATTTGCTGTGCCTGGTAACTTCAGGGATGTGTGTTTCCTCCTGGTCTTACTAAGATCCTGGTGAACCATCTGGAAATTTCATCCTGTGATTACTCCAGAATCTGGAAGACCTTTTGTAGCTACTAATCCCAGAAACAGATTTTTCCTTCATCCTGTCTGTCAACACAGCCTTTAACTTATTTTTATGGGCTTCAGCACATGTTTGAAGCATCACTGCCTTAGGATACAGTCTGTTTTTTTCCAGACTATTTCAGTGCTCCTTATATCTATGAATAGCACTTTCTGAAGAAGGGCTGTTTAGTAGGATCTTCAGTGTCCTTTAAAGCTTGACACATCTCCAATTGCACACCTAGAACGGGAATCAGCGTGACTTCAGTGTGCCACGAGCGTGAGATCCTAGGAAATTAAGCTTTGCCATGCAATCTATTTTGCTGCAGTAGAATTAAATAGTGTTTTCATTAGTAAGATGTGCTCAAGATTGCTTTAAAAAGTACTGATCCAGTTAAAGCGAGGGGGGTAAAGCAGAAAGAATAATCTAAGCTAACTGGCGCCATGCTAGACTCTTGATTTTTTTCCCCTTTTTTTGGTGTCTTGCCCACTAGCACTTGTTTACCCACCAAAATAACTTGTCTATGAAGTTTGCTTTATGCATCTTAACTGCTTTATGGAGGCAGCAGCATCTGGCAGGTAGGAATGGATCCTGTGTGCGGGAAAAGCTGGTTGATAGAGTGCCCTCAACAGCAGGGGAGTTTAGGAGGGTCTGTGTTGTGACCTTGCCTTTTACCATGGCCCTGTGTTCCTGCAAGAACATAAAGCCCCAGGCAGAGGTTCAGAGAAACTCGCTGGAGGAGGTGTGCAGGACATCTCCCCAAGGCAGGAGCGTGCCAGTGTGATGGAGAAGGCAGGAAGATGTCTTTTTGTGTGCAGCCCACAGCAGTGGGCTCACTGCAAGTCCACAGTGCTTCCAGGTTTGTTGGCATCTGTGTCTTTGTGGGAGTGGGCCCTGGGCCACATGTACTCCTTGTGCACTTGCAGAGCATCCTTCTACAAGTCAGGAGCAAAATAGGGAGAGCTGCCTCCTTTTTCTCTCTTGTTAAGGAAGGATTCTCAAGAAATGCTTTTCTTGGGAACAACAGGAAAGCTTGACTTAATTGCTGCTCTAAATATATGCCTATGGCCCCTGAAAGGCCCAGCAGGATATAAAGCCACCAGTTACCAGTTCTCATTTTTGCCAGAACTTCAAAGTGTTTCCTTTTATGCAGTAATCTTAAAACTAGTCCAAGAAAACACTCACACGATTACTTAGATATTCCAGTTATGCCACCAATATGGAAACTTAAATTAGGATATTTTCCACAGGCAAAGCTTCCATTGTTAGTTAAACATGATGGTCTCCTGCTTGCTTGTGGGGAAGATACAACCTCCTTTCCATGGCCTGAGAAATGGTTGCAGCTCAAAGCTGAGCCAAGTGTGATGACTGAGGACTAAGAAAATGGTACCTAAACCTAGTCACCTAAGCCCTATTCAGACTTTAAAAGCTTTTTGATCATAGTTATATCCTTCTCTGGAAGAGAAGCTTCACGTGGACCAGCCAGTATTAATTTAATAAACACTCTGTTGTTTTAGTGTTTGAGATTACAGTTCCCATTGTTATCAGTCGTGCATTGTGTCCAGACTTTATCGGTAGAGATAAAAGCTCGTTTACCTCCATTGATTAAAAGTAAAATTATTCAGGCAGGGCCTGATCCTATCCCCTAAGTCTTAGTCACTTTTTGAAAGCATTGTAAGTTGTGGTTTCCCCTGTCTCTGCCCGTGTGGCCCATGTGATCTGGCAATGCCTTTATTTTGTTAGTGAGGCCATTGCTCAGGCTTGATTCATGTGTACTCAACAAGCCACAGCTGCTGTGCTCCAGAGGTTGTAACTGTATAATATCAATATGTTATAAAATTGAGAGGGATGTGGGGGTTTTTTGGTCGGGTTGTTTTGGGACTTTCTTGATAAGTGCAGTTATGGGGCAGGGTCTGACATATTTAATATTTGCTGCTGGAATGACCTCACAGTAGCACTTGACTTTGCAGTCAAGCCAAGGTAGGTTTGTGCCTTGGCTGCTGGGCCCGGGAGAGCCACAGCAGATGCACCAGGTCCTGGTCAGGAGGAAGTCCTGGAACACCAAACAACAGCCACCAGGGCCAGCAGAGACCCGTCACACTTGAAGTGGTTTCAAGGACTGCAGGATGCATGGTCAGAAATGAAGAGATCATTCAAGGATGGTTTAGATGTAGAGAATTCCTCCTGGTTAAGCAAATATCCTGCTGAGTTTCTCCTGGAAAATAGTTCGATGTGTAAGGCTGTATCTTTTCCAGATTATAAGGGATGGGATGTAAAAGAGGAAAACTTGTAGTTCTCCGAACTTAGAAAGCATGTGGGCCTCAAGCTCTTTTCCCAGTTGGAAAATTTGCTGTAAAGAAAAGGAAATAGATTTTTGTAAAGCAATATTTAATTCAAGCATTTGGCTAATTCTCCTGCTGCAAAGTTTTTAAGTCAAAAGTCTGATTCATTGATGTGGATCTGGAATGAAAGGGATTACGAGAGGAAGTAGACTCTGAAGTTAGAAAAGCTGGTTTCTTGTCCACTAAGCACTTTTTTCCTACTCATCAAATGTATATTTGACCTGTGTTTCTATTTTAAGTGTTGTAGGGAAACTTACTCCTACACGTCTGCCTTTGCTCTTTCTCTGCCCATTGTCATCAGTTCTGCCATGGGTGTGTTCCATTTTACTCTTGCAGAAAGGGATCCTGATCTTTCCACATTTGGAGAAGTTTCTGGACATGATGTTGTTGTACAGATGCTGGGAATTTATACATTTAGTCCATTAGGTTAGAGAATGGAAAATGGGTGGTTTGTTAGTCTTATTACTCATTAAAAGCCTTTGTTACAGCAGCGCCCTGTTCACTCTGGGATGATCTGCAGTGGTGCAGGCGCTGGGGGAGCCGTGGCCAGTACCTTGCTTTTGTTGTGTGTGGTCGTGTATCCTCACAGGTGTGTGTTGTGTTCAGGATTCCTACAAGGATCTCTTTGGGGATCCATCTGAAAACTTTTATTTTGGCACTAAGGGCAGTCTCCCTCTGTCTGTCCTTGCCTTGTCCCTGTTGCGTGTGTGACCCCCAGCTCCTGCTGTCCACCATCCCACTCCCTTCCAGCCTCCAAAGCCTTCCTTTTCCCCATGTTGGTACTCCCATTCCTAGGTCTTGGAGACCTGGCAGCCATCAATGTAATATCACTTAAAGCATCCCATAACATCATGAGTGGTGGCTGTGAGTGCTTTTCCTTGCTATGTCCATAAAGCAGCTACAAAGAGATTATTGGAGGAGACAGGTCTGCATCCCGCCCGGCTCTGTTACTGTGGAGCTGTGATGGATTTACTGCTCCCATAAATGCAGCAGATGGCATTGCCAAACCCAGTGGTTTATCTGAGGCCACCCTTGTGCTCTGCAAAAGATAGCTCATCCTTGGAGAAAAGAATAATGGGGGGTTTCCCTGAGTTTGCAGTAATTATTTTGGGAGTAATTATGTTGCTCAAAAGAAAGAGAGCTGCTGCTTGGTTTGTGAGAAAACAGAGATAAGAACAAGGGGGGTTAAATGTGACAAGTCTTCAGGCAGACAAGGGTGGGGGCAGTGAGACACCAGCCCTGCCCCTGCTCTGGAGAGCAGGGAAAGCATTGGTGATGGGTCATGTTCACCTTGGGGCCAGTAATTAGCCAGGTGGGAGTTTCCCACTAGAATTGAGGATGTCCTGGGAGGTCTCCTGGAATAGGGAGAAAAGAGGGGGTTTTGGCAGTGCAAAGGACCTCTTCATTTTTCTCCCAGTTTTCACGATGTAATTCATGCTTTGCTCTGTAAAGCACTGTGATATAGTTTGTATACATTATGTAAAATAAGTTGTATTCTATTACATTGAAGAAATACAAATATAAAATAAAGTCAAAGGATGGAGTAAAGTAGCTGTGTGGTAACTGGACCCCCAGTCCCCAATTGCACTGTTTGTCCCGTTCCCCAGGACTGTGGTTGCAGGTCTCTGCCATCCCTGGAATGATTTAGGAGTTTTCCACATGACGATACGATGTTAAATACAGACTGTCCCGGATGAAAAGGGAAGCACAGATCAAGTTCTGTCGCACATCACTCACCAGCAGAGCCTGTCTCCACGATCCCAGGCTCCCCTGCTGTTTGTGGCACTGAGCGACTCTTGTGTCTCAGGGATTTTCAGAAACAATTTTCAACTGTGCTTCAGTTTTTTGAGGCTGGAAAAGCTGCATTACATCTCCAGGCACAACTGCTACGAGGGCCCTTTAGGGGTAGTACCTGTAATGGGACAGCACGTGGCAATTTGTAATCCAGGGAAAGCGAAACCCTGAATCTCCAGAGTTTGGATGGAGGGAGGCTGGGAGGGCGGTGAGGAGGGCTGAGAGCACTTCGCATGGGCAACTTGCTGTTGAAAAAGTGGAATCTGACCAAAAATGCCAAGGTGAATATTTTATGGGAAAAAAGATGTCGTTGTGAGCTGCCTGGCACCAGGGACAGACCCTGCTTCTGCATGTCATCCCCGAGACGGGAGTTGCAGCCCGAACCCCCATCACTGTTGTGGGACAGCCACCCTCCCAGTGCAGGCGGGAGGAAGAGCCATAAATCCCAGCGGCTCCTGAGCACGGCTCTGTGAGGGCTGCCAAGGAGGTCAGCACAGGGGGCTCCCAGCACAAATCCTTCTGCTCTGTGGGAATTTCCCTCTTGAGCAACTGCTGCACTTTTTAACCCGAAGATTAATGGAAGGGGCCGTGGAAAGGGCCAGAGTGCCGGGTATTAGTTCATTAGTCTCCAAGCAAACATGCAGCCGGTGAGTCACCAGCGCTGCTTCCTGCACGCTGATGCTGTGCCTGGAGCTCTCCCAGAGCCGAGCGATCCGGCCCAGCCCTGCAAAGGCTGGGAACTCGTGGGACCAGATCACCGCATGCTGCGACTGCGGGCTGCTAATGCTATAAAATGAAAACTAATCTAGATTAATTACACTGCACATGTTATTCATCTATAATCCTGCTGCTTGGCCTCTTTCCCTCCCAGCATAGCTGCCCATTGTTTTCTTTTCCTCTCTTAAATTGTCTTTGACTTCCTTTCCATGTCTTCCAAGGGCTGGGAAGCTGAAGGTGCCCACTCTGCCCATTCTGCTGGGGCAGACCCCTATCTGAGTATGTGGAGGCATAAATAGCCAGTTGGAGCTGTCCTTTGGCTTTGATGGGTCACCAGCTGCAGCAGTGGCTTGAGATGGCAGTGAGGTGCTGCAGCACAACGGGGTGGGTGTCTGGAAGTGCTCCTAGTCATGGAATCAAGGAATGTCCCGTACTGGAAGGGGCCCACAAGGATCATTGAGTCCAACTCCTGGCCCTGCACAGGGCAACCTCGAGACACTAGAAGTGATGGTCCTGCAAGGGGATGCACACATGATGTGTGTTCCATGATGTTACTCTGAAACAGAGCATCGTGTCCAACCAGTCATCTTCCTCACGTGAAGTATGTGCAAACTCAGATGCAGTCCCAGACACAGCACTCTGGGGAGAGCCAGCCCCTCACTGCACTGCGAAGGCCCGGAGGGAGAGAAGCAGAGCTGGGGCAAAATGCCGGAATTTTTCATTCCTGAAATACAGCTCTCACCTGCAGTGCTGCCCCATGGCCAGGGAAGAGAAGCTCCAACCTCGGGTCCAGGGCTGGAGAGCTGGGAACAGGTGACCCCAGCCGGCCAGGGGTCCCCTCCAGCTCATCCTCGACTGCAGGGTCCCTGCACAGGGTTTGTTTAGCAGCAGACTGGGGGTTGAGCTCGGAGGGACCTGCAGCCATCGAGACTGAGCATCATCACCTGCTTGTGCGGCTGTAGAAGGCTGTTGTCTTTCCCACTGCTCTGCTTGGAACAGTCTCAGCTCTGGTAAATCTATTGCTGTGATAGGTGCTAGGAAATGAAAAGGTGTCAGTTGGACAGAGCAGCGTGTAGGATAAGATCTGGTTGCCATCTGGTGCCTGGGGCAGCATTCCCAATGACTCAAGTGGGAGAAGCATCAAGACCCTGATCTCCTGAGATGATGAAGATCTAAGACTTGCTAAATCTGGACAAAATAAGCTGTACTTTTGTTTAGCTGTGAGTTGTTTCAGGCAAGAAGAGACTTTGAAATTGTCTTACTGCGTCACAAAGGATTATTTCACTTTCATGTGATGCCGGTGGGATCAGTGGACGCTCTGGTGGGGTCCCAGAGTGAAGTGCCCAGGGGTCCCCAGCCCCCTCAGGAGCAGCAGTGGGTTATGGGCATCATTCAGGTATTTTCCAAAATGTTCCAAAGTATTTTCTCTTGCAGTCACTTCCAGCAGGTGTTTTTAAGTGTGGTGACCATTCGTTCTTTTCCCAGCCCTTGTTTTTCTCCCCTCTTCACCTGTTTGAACACTGTTGCCACAGGGGAATGGATCAGGAGGGTTTGACCATTGGGCTGGATTTTTTTTCTTTTTGTTTTCTTTTTTTTTTAACAACTGCATTTTTAAATGACATGTTTATAAGTATGGACCTAGTTTTCAAAACAAAGTGCACCACTAACTTTGCAAACAGCTGTTGCAAAAGAGCTCAGACCAGAGACCTTTTGCATCTGTATCTCTGACTGTGTCCCTGCAAAAGTGGTGTGAGCACAGAGGGTTCCTGGGCTAAGTACTGGAGGGGCTCATGACTGTGGGGCAGTAAACAGCTGTGCTTTGAACTGTTGTTTTATCCCAATGTCCCCAGGCAAGCTGGGCCCTAACTTGAGCAGTCACTTGACTTGGAATTGGTGAAAATGCTGAACCCCTGGGGAGGACCCCCTTGGAGGCCAGAGACCCTCTTAGCAGGGAATAGGATCCGTGGTAGAAGAACTGACAGCACTGGGCAGTAGTTGGGGTTTTGAGGGACAACATGGAATGGATATCTTGGCCTAACTGAATGCCAGAGATGTTCCCTGCCACCAGTTGCAGAGGAGGTCTCTGCTTATCGTCCCTTTATGGGGTCAAGCTCTTCCACCAGCTCAGACATGCCCAGCAACACTCTTCCTTGAAAAAATATGCAATTTCTTAAAGGGTTTAAATACAGTAACTTGGGGAATTGTTGTCTTGGTGAAACGGACCCTGTCCACACATGAACCCCTTCTCCCTGCACCTGCTCCCCAGCGAGCCCCAGCCTTGGGAAGCCACGGCGTTTACCAGCAAAACCAACACATCTGCAGGTATGTTTTCAGTGGCACTTTGTGCGTCTGCTTTAAATTATAGCAAGGGGTCAGCTGTGTTTAAATGGACTCAGAGGTGAGACCGAAGAAATGAGGCTTAAAATTCAAAGCAATCCGACCTGCCCTGCCATGGTGTAATGGTCTGAGTAACGTGCTGGCCTGGAGCCACCTCCCTGACTCCTGGGAGAGATGCTTTAAAAGCTCCTCACATGGGCAGTTCAAATGATGTGCACATGGGGGGAAAAGAAAATAGTGTTTAATTGAAACTCTGCACATGTATATATGTTTTTAGGATAAACAAAACAGACTGGGCAAATATTTATTTCTGCCCCTACTGCTACAAAGCAAACTTTCCCACAGCTTTTGACAGAGATAATCTGTTTTTTAGCCATGATGGTGAATTTGTAACGACAAGTTTTCGTTCTGAATGTTTCAGGATTTCCTGATTGGTTCTCACGCAATTATTTTGATTAACAATGAGGTTTTCAGACCAACTTGAAAGGGTCTCGAAGGCTTAAGAATAACCTGGCTCTTGGTTATTCCTCTCACTGGGATTATTTTCTGCAGCTTTCTAACACTTGATCAGATTCTTTGGAAATCAAAGAGAACTACATCTTAAAAATATTTCATATCTCCACCCCCTTCTGAGAAGGGTTTCTTTAAGTTTAGAAAAATGCTTATACCCATATCAAAAAAAGAAAAACATAGGACTGTGATAAGAATGAAAACCAAATGTATTTTTTTAAATGAAAAGATGTATTTTTAATAAAAAAGATTAATGCCTTAGATGGTCATTTCTGTGAGAAGGCAACATCTGAAAACAGAGACTGAGAAGTATTTAGGGCATTTCTGATTAACAAAGAAATGAAACCTCATACTTGGAACCTCTGGATGTTTCTCTTTCATTTATAAACATAGGAGGCAGCTTAAGGAATTAGGAAACATCTATTAAGGCTATTTGCTCAGATATAGTTCTTATCATTTATATTTTTTACCCTTTTTTTAAGATGATGTGGAAATCTCAGACTACCTTTAGAGTCTGAATGCCAGCAGATCCCCTCCTCACTGCCTGTCTCTGTACAGGGAACAGCCCTCAGGAGTTCCCATTCCTGCCAGAAAATGCCTTCAACAGCAAGTATCCTTAAGTAAAAGGGATGTATAATGTGCTTGGACCCATTGTATCCTGGGCGGGGTCCAAATCAGCAGGGAGTGCACCTCCTTGAACTGCCCCCACAAAAATCCACAGACCACCAGGCTCCGGCTCATGGACAGGTGAAAAATAGGAGCCCTGGCTTCTGCTCGCAGGAGATGCACGTGGGGTAACCCAACCACTCTGTTTTCAGCTGAGAAGTCACCTTTAATGCAACTGCTTAACTGACATCAGGAAGGGCTATGGCCAGGCTGGTCTGAGTGCTGGAGCTGCCCTGTGCTTCACGCTGCCCATCCCAGCACTGGCACTGCCATCCTTCAGAGAACCAGAGGGGAAGGTGGAAGGTTGGTGCCAACCAGGTGAGCCTAAAATTTTGCAATGTGAGACACCTGCTGGGACAGGTCTTGCATTCACCATACACGTCCTATATTAATTTGTCACCTTATAATAAATTAAAGATAATAGTGGCTTTAAGCATCATAGTGGCAGAACCCAGTGAGGACTGAGAAGAGTGGTTTGATACAAGCTGAGAAGCCTATAAATTAAAAAAACCCAAACAAATAGTTTT